TAACTACTACTGGAGCCCCAACTTTAACTACAACTGAGTCCATAACTTTACCAGCAATCAAGTCTTCAACTTTAACCACAATTGAGCCCACAACGTTAATGGCTTCTGGGCCCTCAACTTTAACCCCTACAGAGTCCCACAGCTTTAACATCTGTGTCTGCAACTGTAACAGCTTCTGAGTCTGAGTTCACAATTATCCCCACAAATGGGTCCGCAACATTAACTGCTACTGAATCCTCGTCTTTACTCACAGCTGGGACTGGAAGTTCAACCACAACTGATTCCCTAACATTAACCGCTACTGGATCCCCAACTTCAATCACAACTTTAGCCACTAATCAGCTCTCAACTTTACTCACACGTAAGTCTGCAAGTTCAACCACAAAATTAACCACAACGGAATCCACAACTATCTTCAAAACTGAGTCTACAAGTTTCGTCACAGCTGAGTCTTCAACTTTAGCCCCGAGTGGGTCTGCAACTTTAACCCCAATTGAGTCTGCAAGTTCAACCACAACTTTATCTACAACTGGGTACACAACTTTAACCACAACTAAGTCCGCAACGTTAACTGCTGCTGTGCCATCAACTTTGACCACAACTTTAGCTGCTACTGAGTCCACAACTTTAACCACAGCTGAGTCTGCAACTTTTAACAGTTTCTAAGTCCATGGATTTAACCTCAACTGGGTCTGCAAGTTCAAACACTAAAGAGTTTGCAACTTTCACCACAAATGGGTCCCCATCTTTACTTGCAACTGGGACTGCAAGTTCAACTACAACTGAGTCTTCAACTTTAACTAAAATTGAGTCCCCAACATTAACTACTACCGGAGTCCCAACTTTAACTACAGCTGAGTCCATAACTTTTCCAACAATCAAGTCTTCAACCTTAACCAAAATTGAGTCCACAACTTTAGCCGCTACCGAGTCTGCAACTTTAACCCCTACTCAGAGTTCAACTTTACTCACAACTGAGTCTGCAAATTTAACCCCAACTGAATCCACAACTAGCCTCAAAACTGAGTCTGCAAGATTGACCACAACTTTATCCACAATTGGGTCCACATCCACAAATTTACCCACAATCAATTCTTCAAATTTAACCACAACTGAGCCCACAACTTTAGCTGCTACTGAGTCTTCAACTTTAACCACTACTCAGCTCTCAACTTCACTCACTACCGAATCTTCAAGTTCAACATCAACTGAACCCACCAGTATCCCCAAAACTCAGGCTGCAACTTTAATCACAACTGAACTCGCAACTTTAACCACTACTAAGTCTTCAACTTTACTCACAACTGAGTCTGCAAGTTCAACCACAACTGAGTCTGCAAATTTAACCACAATGGGATCCACAACTAGCCTCAAAATCGAGTCTGTAAGCTTTACAACAGCTGAGTCTACAGCCCCAACTGAGTCTGCAAGTTCAACCACAACTAAGTCCATTCCGTTATCCACAATTGGGTCCACAACTTTACCCACAATCAAGTCTTCAACTTTAATCACAACTGAGTCTTCCACTTTAACCACTACTCAGCTCTCAACTTTACTCACTACTGAGTCTTCAAGTTCAACCACAACTGAGTCTGCCAATTTAACCACAACTGAAGCCACAATTACCCTCAAAACTGGGTCTGCAAGTTTCACCACAGCTGAGTCTGCAAGTACAACCACGACCAGGTCCATAATGTTATCCACAATTGGGTCCACAACTTTACCGACAATCAAGTCTTCAACTTTAATCACAACTGAGTCTTCAACTTTAGCCCCTACTGGACCCCAAACTTTAACTACAACTTTGTCTGCAAATGTAACAGCTTCTACTTCTGCAGCTTTAACCTCAACTGTGTCTGCAAGTTTAAACACAACTGGGTTTGAGACTGCCACCACAAATAAATTCACCAATATCCCCACAAATGGTTCCACAACATTAACAACTGCTGATTACTCATCTTCAGTCGCAAGAGGGACTGAAAGTTCGACCACAACTGATTCCACAACTTTAACCTCTACTAAGTCCACAACGTTACCCACAACTGAGTCTACAACTTTACCTACAACTGAATCTTCAACTTTTGCAACTTTACCCACAACTGAGTCTGCAACTTTATCCACAACTTTATCCACAACTGAGTCTACAACTTTACCTACAACTGAATCTTCAACTTTTGCAACTTTACCCACAACTGAGTCTGCAACTTTACCCACAACTGAGTCTACAACTTTATCCACAACTGAGTCTACAACTTTACCCACAACTGAGTCTACAACTTTACCCACAACTGAGTCTCTGCAACTTTACCTACAACTGAGTCTGCAACTTTCCCCACAACTGAGTCTACAACTTTACCTACAACTGAGTCTACAACTTTACCTACAACTGAGTCTACAACTTTACCTACAACTGAGTCTACAACTTTCCCCACAACTGAGTTTACAACTTTACCTACAACTGAGTCTACAACTTTACCTACAACTGAGTCTACAACTTTACCTACAACTGAGTCCACAACTTTACCTACAACTGAGTCTACAACTTTACCTACAACTGAGTCCACAACTTTACCTACAACTGAGTCTACAACTTTCCCTACAACTGAGTCTGCAACTTTACCTACAACTGAGTCTACAACTTTCCCCACAACTGAGTCTGCAACTTTCCCCACAACTGAGTCTACAACTTTACCTACAACTGAGTCTACAACTTTACCTACAACTGAGTTTACAACTTTACCTACAACTGAGTCTGCAACTTTATCCACAACTGAGTCTACAACTTTACCTACAACTGAGTCTACAACTTTACCTACAACTGAGTCTGCAACTTTACCTACAACTGAGTCTACAACTTTCCCCACAACTGAGTCTGCAACTTTCCCCACAACTGAGTCTACAACTTTACCTACAACTGAGTCTACAACTTTACCTACAACTGAGTCTACAAGTTTACCTACAACTGAGTCTACAACTTTACCTACAACTGAGTCTACAACTTTCCCCACAACTGAGTCTACAATTCTACCTACAACTGAGTCTACAACTTTCCCCACAACTGAGTCTACAATTCTACCTACAACTGAGTCTACAACTTTCCCCACAACTGAGTCTACAACTTTCCCTACAACTGAGTCTACAACTTTCCCTACAACTGAGTCTACAACTTTACCTACAACTGAGTCCACAACTTTACCTACAACTGAGTCCACAACTTTACCTACAACTGAGTCTACAACTTTACCTACAACTGAGTCTACAACTTTACCTACAACTGAGTCCACAACTTTACCTACAACTGAGTCTACAACTTTACCTACAACTGAGTCCACAACTTTACCTACAACTGAGTCTACAACTTTACCTACAACTGAGTCCACAACTTTACCTACAACTGAGTCTACAACTTTACCTACAACTGAGTCTACAACTTTACCTACAACTGAGTCTACAACTTTCCCTACAACTGAGTCTACAACTTTACCTACAACTGAGTCTACAACTTTCCCCACAACTGAGTCTACAATTCTACCTACAACTGAGTCTACAGCTTTCCCTACAACTGAGTCTACAACTTTCCCCACAACTGAGTCTACAACTTTCCCTACAACTGAGTCTACAACTTTCCCTACAACTGAGTCCACAACTTTACCTACAACTGAGTCTACAACTTTACCTACAACTGAGTCTGCAACTTTATCCACAACTGAGTCTACAACTTTACCTACAACTGAGTCCACAACTTTACCTACAACTGAGTCTACAACTTTACCTACAACTGAGTCCACAACTTTACCTACAACTGAGTCCACAACTTTACCTACAACTGAGTCTACAACTTTACCTACAACTGAGTCTGCAACTTTATCCACAACTGAGTCTACAACTTTACCTACAACTGAGTCTACAACTTTACCTACAACTGAGTCTGCAACTTTATCCACAACTGAGTCTACAACTTTACCTACAACTACTGACTCCACAGCTTTACCATTAGCTGAGTCTGAAACTTTAACTGATACTGAGTCTACAACTAAACCCACAACTGAATCCGCAGCTTTAACCACAAGTAAGTCTGCAGCTTTACCCACAACTGGGTCCACAACTTTGAAGTTCTAAAGGTATAGGTTTCTTACCATAATGCATCTCTGCCCCCCGCCTCCCAGCACCCCTCTTATACTTACATGACCTCGATCTCAATCCAGTGCTGTGCCCAAGAGCAATGGTTCTCTTGGCTCTGTCTCACCTCACTGGGGATCAAGCCATTGGCTCCTGCTATTGTCAACTACAGCCAGTGAAAGAGAGAGGGGAGGGTCAGGGCCGAAGCGCACTATGTGTGTGTGCAAGGACACATGGAGCATGGCTCAGGAGCGAGCGTGCATGAGTGCCCACATAGAAAGAGGCATGCTATTGGGACACTCAGGAGAGAGGGGGGGCGGGACAGGAGCACTGGTAGGGGATCCCAAAAGAGGAGGATTGGGGCTGCTTTGTGCAAAACTTTAGTAACATCCATACAATAGGTTTCCACAATGCACAACATTCTGTGAATGGAGGAGGTGAAACTTTAATATATCTGCCTGTCCTCCAATCACAAAATACTTCACATGGTGGGATTCTATGGTATGAGTGCTATAAATGGAGTAGAGGAGTGGGAAGGCTGGGCATAGTTGGCACTTTTGACCAGTGCTTGTCACAGGTGCAGCCATCGATTGGTAACCCCTCTCAACACCAGAAGATCACAAACCTAAAAAAAGTGATATGTAGAGTACATACGTATGTGTTTGTATGCAATGTGTAAGAGTTTTAAATGATTGTGAGGGACAGACCCTTCCCCCCCCCCCCGCCATGTTGAATGACAGCGCTCGTCTCCAGCATTTGCCTGCAGTCAGAGACAATAAGGCTCCTGCTAAGTTGGGTGGTTGAACAGCGGTGGGGGAAGGGGTGGCACGCTGTTGACCACATATGTATGGATCAGAATGGGATCAAGTGCTTTATGTTTTCCATCCCCTTGTGGATTCATCACCAGTTTGAGACTGTGGTGATACTTCTTTAATCACTTCCAGTCCGGACACTTTCCCCCCTTCCAGTCCGGACACTTTCCCCCCCTTCCAGTCCGGACACTTTCCCCCCCTTCCAGTCCGGACACTTTCCCCCCCCTTCCAGTCCGGACACTTTCCCCCCCTTCCAGTCCGGACACTTTCCCCCCCTTCCAGTCCGGACACTTTCCCCCCCTTCCAGTCCGGACACTTTCCCCCCCTTCCAGTCCGGACACTTTCACCCCCTTCCAGTCTGGACACTTTCCCCCCCTTCCAGTCGGGACACTTTCCCCCCCTTCCAGTCCGGACACTTTCCCCCCCTTCCAGTCTGGACACTTTCACCCTCTTCCAGTCCGGACACTTTCCCCCCCTTCCAGTCCGGACACTTTCCCCCCCTTCCAGTCTGGACACTTTCACCCCCTTCCAGTCCGGACACTTTCACCCCCTTCCAGTCCGGACACTTTCACCCCCTTCCTGCCCAGGACAATTTCCAGCTTTCAGCGCTATCACACTGTGAATGACAATTGCGCGGTCATGCAACACTGCACCCATATGAATTTTTTAGCATTTTTTTGAGACAGATAAAACTTTATTTTGGTGGTATTTATTCACTGCTGGGATTTTTATTTTTTTGCTATGTAAATGAAAATGTCCAAAAAGTTGGAAAAAAAGTGTTTTTCTTATAACATTTTGCAAATAAATAATATTTCTTCATAAATCTTGGCCAAATGTATTCCGTTATCTTTTTAGTAAAAAAAAAAAAATACATAAATTAGTTTATAACCAAAAATTATAATTTTTAAACATTTTTTTTTTACATTTTTATTTTATTTTTTTATATTAGTATTTATGTTTTTTTTATTTCTTTTTACATACTGTCACCTTAGCAGTACAGGGTCACCATAGCGACACTGTACTACTTGTGGGGGGTGATGAAGATTTTTTATTTTTTTTACACTGATTGCTTTTACACCCATAAAGGCTGTAAAAGCAATAATTTCTCTTTCTCTCTGTCTGCATTCTTGCAGCCATTGAGAAATACTGTGTGAGCTGTGATTGGCCACAGCTTGTCACATGGTACAAGGCTGTTGTGAATGGCCCTGTACCATGTGATCTCTGTGATCATTCACAGATTTCACTAGTAGTAAGCAATGATGTCACAAGTGACATCTTGCTTACACCTATTCATGTGATCACTGATTGGCCAATCAGTGATCACATGATTGGGACCTCACACAGAGGTCCCGTACAGCGATCGGTGTTCTGTGTCCGGAGGACACAGCGGGCACCGGATTGCGGTGCTGCGCGCTCCCAGAGAGCGCGCACGAGCAGGGAGCGGGGAGGCCGTTTATATACATAGGCCGGATGGGAAGTGGTTAAAAACTACCAAAAACCGTCCTCTTTTCACCTTCCTCGTTGACTTTAATGCATTTCACCGAAATAGCAAATTTCCTCTGACATCGCTCAGAATTCACCGAAATTTCAGAAAAAGGAAACCTTTAAATGTCATCTACCGGTATTTATGAGCACCCGCTGTCCCTGGTTGGTTGATTATTGAGCCGCCCTCTTCTATGGTTGCCTATGGACAGTATGGTCGTTCCTAGAAGCGTTGTATATGTGGCCCTATCACTGCACATCTGTTATCTTGCAGGCTCCGTTGCAGCGAGGATCTACATGAGGACTTCCAGCCGCGTGGATACAAATATCATGGATGCGTTTGTACATCAGGTAATCTGACACAAAACAGATCCAAAAGGTGTCAACCTGCTTCTATGCCAATCTTTCTGAACATCGTAACCTCCCTAGTGGTCTGATGATGTCAGTATTTCTGTGCTCAAAGCGGTACATTTTTTTGCATGGAAATATGTATTTTTTTATAGTAGGCCTGTAATTCTTAGGAATAACTCACTGAAATCTGTCCGAACAAGAGTCTAGTAAACATCCCGGGGGGGATAAAATTTGAAACACAAAATCATAAATAATAATATAATAATAATAAATGTAATTCAATAATATAATCAAACCAAAAACACTGAAATGTGAAATATAGCGCCAAGTTCGCACATCGCTGAGCTCAGTCGCAGAATCGTTTTCAGTGTCTGATGATGACTTTCCCCCACCAATCATTATCACTCAATTCTGCAAGTGGTTCTGATTTACTATCGCTGTTCTCTAGCCGGTCTAAAACCGCGTCTGACCTAAAGGGACGCTTTTTGGACGCCATGGACGTTTCTCAGTTTCCAGGCAGAAAGGGCGGTAAAAATGCAGGCAGGGCGCCGGACAAAGCACTCGGGACACAATGTATGTGAAATGGTTGGATACAGGAATGTTATACTCTGTGATTTTAGTGAATTTAGTGAATGTCACTTTTTGACATATTTAAATTTCCCGCCAGTTCGATCCCCCGTACGTCCCGACGTCGCAGGGAATGGAACCCAGGAGCATTGCTGAAATGCAAAAGGTGCAAAGCAGCCTTCAGTGTTTGACGTTTGCATGGTTGTTTCATTTAAGTTGCTCTTTATGACTGTAAGGCAGGGGCCTCCAAAATATGGCCCTCCAGGTGTTGAGGAACTGCAAGTCCCACGAGGCCTTAGATCAGGGGTCCCCAAACTACGGCCCTCCAGGTGTTGAGACTGCAAGTCCCACGAGGCCTTAGATCAGGGGTGTCCAAACTACGGCCCTCCAGGTGTTGAGGAACTGCAAGTCCCACGAGGCCTTAGATCAGAGGTGTCCAAACTACGGCCCTCCAGGTGTTGAGGAACTGCAAGTCCCACGAGGCCTTAGATCAGGGGCGTCCAAACTACGGCCCTCCAGGTGTTGAGGAACTGCAAGTCCCACGAGGCCTTAGATCAGGGGCGTCCAAACTACGGCCCTCCAGGTGTTGAGGAACTGCAAGTCCCACGAGGCCTTAGATCAGGGGCGTCCAAACTACGGCCCTCCAGGTGTTGAGGAACTGCAAGTCCCACGAGGCCTTAGATCAGGGGCGTCCAAACTACGGCCCTCCAGGTGTTGAGGAACTGCAAGTCCCACGAGGCCTTAGATCAGGGGCGTCCAAACTACGGCCCTCCAGGTGTTGAGGAACTGCAAGTCCCACGAGGCCTTAGATCAGGGGCGTCCAAACTACGGCCCTCCAGGTGTTGAGGAACTGCAAGTCCCACGAGGCCTTAGATCAGAGGTGTCCAAACTACGGCCCTCCAGGTGTTGAGGAACTGCAAGTCCCACGAGGCCTTAGATCAGGGGCGTCCAAACTACGGCCCTCCAGGTGTTGAGGAACTGCAAGTCCCACGAGGCCTTAGATCAGGGGCGTCCAAACTACGGCCCTCCAGGTGTTGAGGAACTGCAAGTCCCACGAGGCCTTAGATCAGGGGCGTCCAAACTACGGCCCTCCAGGTGTTGAGGAACTGCAAGTCCCACGAGGCCTTAGATCAGGGGCGTCCAAACTACGGCCCTCCAGGTGTTGAGGAACTGCAAGTCCCACGAGGCCTTAGATCAGGGGCCTCCAAACTACGGCCCTCCAGGTGTTGAGGAACTGCAAGTCCCACGAGGCCTTAGATCGAGGGGTGTCCAAACTACGGCCCTCAAGGTGTTGCGGAACTGCAAGTCCCACGAGGCCTTAGATCAGGGGTGTCCAAACTACGGCCCTCCAGGTGTTGAAGAACTGCAAGTCCCACGAGGCCTTAGATCAGAGGCGTCCAAACTACGGCCCTCCAGGTGTTGAGGAACTGCAAGTCCCACGAGGCCTTAGATCAGGGGCGTCCAAACTACGGCCCTCCAGGTGTTGAGGAACTGCAAGTCCCACGAGGCCTTAGATCAGAAGCGTCCAAACTACGGTCCTCCAGGTGTTGAGGAACTGCAAGTCCCACGAGGCCTTAGATCAGGGGCGTCCAAACTACGGCCCTCCAGGTGTTGAGGAACTGCAAGTCCCATGAGGCCTTAGATCAGAGGTGTCCAAACTACGGCCCTCCAGGTGTTGAGGAACTGCAAGTCCCACGAGGCCTTAGATCAGGGGTGTCCAAACTACAGCCCTCAAGGTGTTGCGGAACTGCAAGTCCCACGAGGCCTTAGATCAGGGGTGTCCAAACTACAGCCCTCCAGGTGTTGCAGAACTGCAAGTCCCACGAGGCCTTAGATCAGGGGTGTCCAAACTATGGCCCTCCAGGTGTTGAGGAACTGCAAGTCCCATGAGGCCTTGCAAGACTCTGACATCCACAGGCAAGACACCCAGAGGCATGATGGGACTTGTAGTACTTCAAAAACTGGAGGGCCATAGTTTGGACCCCCCATGCTGTAAGGAACACCATAAGCAGGTGTCCGGCAGGGATGACCACGTCAGTTGGCTGCATCTGAAGGAATCGGAAACCAGACCAAATATGTATAAATAAAGTTTATGAACATAAAACAACGCCCTTCCAACACCAACAAACCATAAACGACGTAAAAGTGAAAAATAAATGTGATAGTGCGAGCAAACCCATGTACAAAATGGAGGGAGCGCTCACAAGAACAGGATCAGGACTGGGAACAAGGGGAGTGGAGCAGGATACTAGATTCTAGTTGCAGGGTACAGGGCACTGGAAGCAGGTTAGAGAAAACAAGGACTTCCTCTGGATCAACTGTGGGTGTAGGATTATAACATTTTTTTTTATGGTTGACTTTTGTCTTTTTTCAGCCAGACTAACTATGTAAGGATCAGGCAGGGACACAGCTCACAGGTAGAACAGTGAAGCACTGATCTTCATCAAGGGAGGGATTAAACGCCTTCCCAGCAGCCAGTATCACATGGATCCTAAATACTAGGATAAGCTGGCTGTTGGGAGACACCTGCTGGTGGCCACCGGAACTGCGTCCTTTGGCTCCGGAAACAACAGCGCCACCAGCATCTGATCCAGGTCCTGACACGAGTCCTGACAATAACAATATGAACAGCTATACCTTCCGATAATATATTCCTTACCCTCCAGTCCTCCTAGGATGAACTGCACTAGCCCCTTATCCCAGCTGTATACTTACCTCAGTGGCATCATTCTTTTTTCAGCACACTTGCCACACCTGAGTCTCCATGACTTAAAGGGTAACTCCACCTTTTATCCCTTGAAAATAAGGGATTAAATCCTCCTCCTATCCCCACTGCTCGTGTGTTTACATTTCCTGAGAGTCATCCCCACACTTGGAAAAAGCCACGCGCAGGTCCCAAGAGGCGACATATTGCAGGCACTGGATCCTCTGTCAGAGTCCATTGTCCAACAGCTGGACAAATTCATGCAAAAG